GGCTGCTGAGACATCTCAATGTGTGTCTAGTGCTGTCAGAACAATAACACAAACACCCCATCGCTGTGTGCATGACCAAACACACACTCTTTGACAAACAACACTCATTAAAAAACACACACACCTGCAGGACGAATACTTTGCAAAAACATTTAATGAGTTTCTTTATCTACATTCAGAATGAGTTAAACCATGCATTGCAACATAATCAACAATCAAGCTGTTTGCAGTGAGATGCGATCAAATAAGAAATAAATTAATTTCTCGCTATGTGCAAACAAATGACTCGGTGAGCGTGCAGAGTCGAGCCGCTCGCTCGTGCATGCGCTGCAGACATTATCAGATAAACTCTGAAACGGGAGAGAAATCATCAGTGCGCAACAACTTTTCAAGTACACACAACATGCAAAGAGCATGAACACTGAGTTATTATAAAATGCGTTGCAGTTAGAACTTAAGGTGCAGATACTGAAAGCAACTAAACTAAGTGTAGAAATTCTTGCGTTGCGTCAATGCTCACTAAGCATTTGAAGAATATCATGCTTAAATAAGCATAAGCATTAAGTAAACTTCTGTTAATAACATAAAACGTTTGCAAGAGTTTACTCACATTGGCAAAACTAACTTCTTTTCACTAAAGCCAGATACACAAACTCAATACAAGACAAATAGCTTAACACAGCATCAGCTTATAGAAGCGAGTGTCACGGACAGCGGCACAGCGAATGTAAAGAGCGTTTCAGCACCGCGGACAGCGGCGCAGCTTCAGCACCATCCATAAATACATGCATCCAGACTCACACCGAGAGAGTTGAGCACCACTGACCAAACCAAGACCATCCTTGATCACATGTGCATTAAAACAAACGGCAGCTTCTGTTACCTGTTACTGAGGTACTCTAGCGTGTCTAACAAGCGCTCTCCATCCGACAGTCTCAAAGTCTTCCGCGGGAATGCTGGGATGCGGGAACGGGTCACAACGCGTCCAGACGTCCCGGGCTGGATGTTCAAGTCTCGGTGCACTTCACTTCCACAAGCGCAACGGCACAAAGCGACTCTGACCAAACTCCAGAGAGTTTACTACCAACCTCTTCTAATGCTGCTTCGGCTGCTTCTGTATTCCAGCGAAAGCGAGCGAGCGAATAACGGGCAAAGAACGAACGCGGAGCTCCGGAGGCTCGCTTTTCTCGGTCTGCTTTTTCTGCTGTCGCGGTTGGTACTTGTACTCTCGGCTTCGGAGTCTTGCTGCTTGTGGTCTGAAGTGTTTGAGTCGGAGTGGCGTGTGGCCTCCTCGCGCTGCCTTATAAACCCCTCCACCCTGCGTGGATCGCGCGCACCGGTGAATGAGACAGCGCGCGGGGGTATCAGATAAACTCTGAAACGGGAGAGAAATCATCAGTGCGCAACAACTTTTCAAGTACACACAACATGCAAAGAGCATGAACACTGAGTTATTATAAAATGCGTTGCAGTTAGAACTTAAGGTGCAGATACTGAAAGCAACTAAACTAAGTGTAGAAATTCTTGCGTTGCGTCAATGCTCACTAAGCATTTGAAGAATATCATGCTTAAATAAGCATAAGCATTAAGTAAACTTCTGTTAATAACATAAAACGTTTGCAAGAGTTTACTCACATTGGCAAAACTAACTTCTTTTCACTAAAGCCAGATACACAAACTCAATACAAGACAAATAGCTTAACACAGCATCAGCTTATAGAAGCGAGTGTCACGGACAGCGGCACAGCGAATGTAAAGAGCGTTTCAGCACCGCGGACAGCGGCGCAGCTTCAGCACCATCCATAAATACATGCATCCAGACTCACACCGAGAGAGTTGAGCACCACTGACCAAACCAAGACCATCCTTGATCACATGTGCATTAAAACAAACGGCAGCTTCTGTTACCTGTTACTGAGGTACTCTAGCGTGTCTAACAAGCGCTCTCCATCCGACAGTCTCAAAGTCTTCCGCGGGAATGCTGGGATGCGGGAACGGGTCACAACGCGTCCAGACGTCCCGGGCTGGATGTCCAAGTCTCGGTGCACTTCACTTCCACAAGCGCAACGGCACAAAGCGACTCTGACCAAACTCCAGAGAGTTTACTACCAACCTCTTCTAATGCTGCTTCGGCTGCTTCTGTATTCCAGCGAAAGCGAGCGAGCGAATAACGGGCAAAGAACGAACGCGGAGCTCCGGAGGCTCGCTTTTCTCGGTCTGCTTTTTCTGCTGTCGCGGTTGGTACTTGTACTCTCGGCTTCGGAGTCTTGCTGCTTGTGGTCTGAAGTGTTTGAGTCGGAGTGGCGTGTGGCCTCCTCGCGCTGCCTTATAAACCCCTCCACCCTGCGTGGATCGCGCGCACCGGTGAATGAGACAGCGCGCGGGGGAGTGTGTGTGTGTGTGTGTGTGTGTGTGTGCGCTCGCGCACTGGACACACAGAAAGACGAAGGAGAGCGCCGATGTGCGCACAGACGAGCGCAGAACCGGAAAGAGAGACTTCACGGCGCTTTCTCTCACTGATAGCGAGCGTTACATCATTACCTGATTGCCCACACTACTCAATACGACTGACACACACCAAACGATCGACAATCAATCAAACGTGTCTAAATCATGTAAACATGATTATTGGAGTACATTTACTCTTTCAGTCTTTCGACTTCAAAATTAATGCTTTATTCAGTGTTACTTGCCGCTTCTTTAATTATTTGTGAAACTTACAAGCAATTTCTACACCACGTTTTTCAGTTTACACCATAATCAAACTGAATAATAAAACAATCACAACACAATTAAACACGTAGCTCCACAACGGAAGGGGTTTATTTGATTGATATATTCGATACTCTTTTTTGTTTTGTTTTTGTGTGTGTGTGTGTGTGTGTGTGTGTGTGTGTGTGCTGGAAACTTTAAACCAGTGAACTTTGTTTTGTTGAGCTTTGTTAATTGCATAGTATTTCACTATTAATGTAATGAGTTACTTGCCGTTTCTCTGTAATTATTTGTGAAATTTACTACTAAAATTGCTTCTACCCCAATAAAGTATCATAAAGTATTATTTTTGGATGATATTATCATTACGCAGGGAGTTTATTTGACTAATTTATTCAGTCTTGTGTTTTTGTGGTGTGTGTGTATGCTGTTAGAACTGCAGTGAACATTATGTGCTGAAGTTGAGTTGTTTTTCTCCTCGTCATGCGAACGGACTGTGCCAACATGACCACAGTAAGGCATGCCGAAGACAGCTCAAACTCGCGTGTTTTCTCCACGTCCAGCGCAATATTTACCAAAACCCCGCAAATCTGCCGTGTGTCCGAATAAGTGCCTCCGCTGAGGGCCGATTCCCTCACAATGGCTCATGAGCTTCAGCGCATTACTCATCAGCGGAAGCAAAGGTAGGAACACACTAATTCAGTCACGTATGATTCACTGACTCTCCTTCACTGACAGGGAAACGAAGGCCTGTAAACCTCGCTCAGGAAGATACCTCCTCGAGATCCTGCGGCACCTGTTCACATGCAACTGTCCAACCGAGGAGAGGCCAAACCCTCACTCCATGGCGTTATTTTAACGACAAATGTCGAGAGCGCATTATTGTAGCGCTCTCAATGCATTCAGTCCATGTTTGAGAAGAGACCTGGCCTGCGTTTCCCAGAAGCATCGCAAGCCTAAGTAGAGCAATCAACTTAGCGATGCTTTTGAGAAGCGCAGCCCTGATCAGGACTGATTCTGCCGTGTCACCGATGAGTGACCCGCTTCTGAAACACGGGGCCTTCATCACACACACGGGCTGTTTGTGAGTGTGTGAGTCTCTGCAGGCGTCATACTGCACTGCTGCCTCTAGAGGGCGTGTGAAACAGCAGTGAAGCTCAGAGAAACACACACAGGTTTGGTTGGTTGGCATGATCATCCAAACTACACCATCTGCCTGCTAACCGCATCTTTCACTGATGGCCATTCAGAAGGAGCTGTGTATTCGAAATACTGTTTTTCACAATAAGCGTGTAAACTGTGCGCATTCAGGTGTGCAATAGTCAAGGGTCGGCCTCGGTGTGACTTAAAATCTGCAATTGCAAGCAAACAATCTAACAAACAAAAATAAACATTTAAGTTTTTCTACATTTTCTACTTTTGTCACATTTGTTGCAAAATTTGTTTCTGCACCATTTTTTTTCTCAATAGAAATCAATAGGAAAAGAAAAACAAAACAAAACAAGAAGTTACATCAGGGTTATTCCATAAAAACTTGAAAAACTACATGATAACTGAAATAAAATATAAAAACGTTTTATTTTATTTCAGCTAGTTAACAAGGCAACATTTGTCATTTTCATTTAGTTTAACTTAAAGTACTAAATAAATAAATAAACTAAAACTAAAAATTAAGAACTATATAGACATATTAAAAACAAAACAATAATAAAAAGGACAGAAATACACAACAAAATGAACCAAAATCAAAGTGATACAAATAAATATACAAATTAAAATCTAATTCAAAATATTAACAAAAAATATAATATTTAGGATACTAAAATAACTCATTATATTTTGATAAACACAAGAAAGCCTGTTTTTATTTTTTACTTTCATAACAATTAAGCATCCCCCAATTCGCACTACTGCAAAGCCAGAAATATATGGTGGTATTTGCTTCACTGAATTTAATTAATAATAATTTTAATGAAAAAAATCCACTGCAGTCAGACTGGATGTATTACTGTCATCAATTGGAGCTAAATTGTCATTAAACTAATGTCACAATGCATAAGCCGTTTATCCTATAAACAGGCTTCATTTTATTTGAGTGAAATATGTATATATTTTTGATTTATTGGCTGAAAAAGGAGCCGGACCTCTTTATGAGATTCATCCAATTACCTGAGCATACAAAAGCTGCAGATTGACAAACCCGTGAGCTTGTTGTTCAGACTGAACTGATTTAGGGCAGATTCTAGGGGGCCTTGAAATGGGTCAGACCTGACCGGACCGGAAATTACCACAAACACACACAATACAGCAGCGCGTATCTTTCAGACGAGGAGTTTTATTTTTTACTTTCATATCAATTAAGCATCCCCCAATTCGCACTACTGCAAAGCCAGAAATATATGGTAGTATTTGCTTCACTGAATTTAATTAATAATCATTTTAATGAAAAAAATCCACTGCAGTCAGACTGGATGTATTACTGTTATCAATTGGAGCTAAATTGTCATTAAACTAATGTCACAATGCATAAGCCGTTTATCCTATAAACAGGCTTCATTTTATTTGAGTGAAATATGTATATATTTTTGATTTATTGGCTGAAAAAGGAGCCGGACCTCTTTATGAGATTCATCCAATTACCTGAGCATACAAAAGCTGCAGATTGACAAACCCGTGAGCTTGTTGTTCAGACTGAACTGATTTAGGGCAGATTCTAGGGGGCCTTGAAATGGGTCAGACCTGACCGGACCGGAAATGACCACAAACACACACAATACAGCAGCGCGTATCTTTCAGACGAGGAGTGTGAGGAGTTCTCTCTCACACACACACACACACACACACACACACACACACAAAAACACCAAGACTCAATTTCAAAAGCAGGACGAGTGTTTGGAGAAGGAGAGAGGAGAAGCTGGAATCAGGCTGCAGTGTGTGAGCGTGGGTTCAGGTTCGGTGGTGGTGACTCAGCCGTGTGTGTGTTTGTGTATGTGTGTGTATGTGTGTGTGTGTGTGTGTGTACGTGTGTGTGTGTGTAGGAGAGCCCACTCACAGAAGGAAACTCCTGGATGAGTTGTGAGGGAGTCCCGCCCCGGCCTGAGAACAAGAGCCCTACACAGAGAACACAGAGTCATCGTGATCAAACGCCCCGCTGGACGAACAGAACGTTCTGCTGCTCACCTGTGAATCTGAGAGCACAGACGCATCTGAGCATGTCTCTTTAAATCACAGTTCAGCTCATTCATTTGAATTGAATGTATAAAAGTAGAATTAAAATGAACTGATATTCAAGGAAACTTGTATAACCTTTAAAGGGGTCATATGATGCGATTTCAATTTTTCCTTTCTCTTTGGAGTGTTACAAGCTCTTGGTGCA